GCCTGTAGTTCCAGCTACATGGAAGGCTGAGGCGGAAGGATCGCCGGAGCCCAGCAGGTCCAGGCTGCAGTGGCCGTGAATGTGCCACTGCACTCCAGCCTGGGCAAGGAAGTGAGACTCCCGCTCATAAATAAATAAATAAATAAACGGCGGGGCTGGGTGGCTCAGCCTGTCATCCCAGCACTTTGGGAGGCTGAGGTGAGAGGATTGCCTGAGCCCACGGGTTCGAGACCCACCTGGGCAACGTGGCGAGACCTCATCTCTACAATAAATCAAAAAAATGAACCAGGTGTGGTAGCGCGAGCCTGTAGTTACAGCTACTTGGAAGGCTAAGGCGGAAGGATCTCCAGAGCCCAGCAGGTTGAGGCTGCGGTGACCGAGAGGCGTGCCACTGCCCTCCAGCCTGGGTGACAGAGTGAGACTCCAACTCAAAAAAAAAAAGAGAAAGAAAATTAGTTCCTTTTATATTACTTTGTTAAGAGATGGAGTTTTAGCTGGGTGCAGCGGCTCATGCCTGTAATCCCTGCGCTGTGAGAGGCAGAAGCGAGAGGATTGTCTCAGCCCATGGGTGGGAGACCAGCCTGGGCAACATGGTGAGATTCTACACTAAGTAAAAAAACTAGCTGGGCATGGTGGTGCATGCCTGTAGTTCCAGCTGCTTGGAAGGCAGAAGTGGAAGGACTGCCTGAACCTAACAGGTCAAAGCTGCGGTGGCCATGAGTGTGCCACTGCACTCCAGTCTGGGCAACAAAGTGAGACTCCGACTCAAAAAAAAAAAAAAAAAAAGAGATAGCTGGAGTCTCACTGTGTTGCCCATTCTGGTCTCGAACTCCTGGGTTCAAGGAATCCTCTCCCACTTCAGCCTTCTACAACGCTGAGATGACAGGCCTGATCTCCTGCGCCCGGCCGTAAGTTCCTATTGTCGAAGCCACCAGCCTGTGTGTTGTGTGTGACAGCTGCGCCAGACTAATGAAGGAGGGATGATGCATTGGACTCTGAACTTGGCACTACAGCACCCAGGTTGACATCCCTGATGCACCATTTACCAGCCATGTAGCCTTGGGCAACGCACTTAACCTTGCGAAGCTTCATGTGTCTTATCTCATGAAAGAAATAACCTCAGGAAAGCATCTGTAGATGACCTATAATTAAAGTAATGGTCACTGGTTGGGTGCGGTGGCTCACGCCTGTCATCCCAACATTTTGGGAGGCTGAGTTGGAAGGATTTCTTGAGCCCAGAAGGTCAGGACCAGCCTTGGTGACAGAGCGAGATCTCGACTCTACAAAAAAAAAATTTTTTTTTGAGTTGGAGTCTCACTCTGTC